ATGCTTATGTTCTCCTTTTTTATTCTTAACTTTTTAATTTAAATTTTGACAATGAATGAAGGCATGAAAGTGAAAGGTGCTCAGTCATCCAGGCCAGAATACTGCAGTGGGTAGCCTTTTCCATCTCCAGGGGATCTTCCCAACCTAGGGATTGAACCCAGGTCTCCTGCATTTCAGATTCTTTACCAGCTGAGCCACACAGGTCAAGAAGCAACAGTTAGAACTGGACATGCAACAACAGACTGGTTCCAAATCAGGAAAGGAGTACTTCAAGGCTGTATTTTGTCACCCCGCTTATTCAACTTATATGCAGAGAACTTCATGAGAAATGCTGGCTGGATGAAGCACAAGCTGGAATCAAGATTGCCAGGAGAAATATCAATAACCTCAGATATGCAGATGACACCACCCTTATGGCATGATGCGAAGAGGAACTAAGAGCCTCTTGATGGAAGTGAAAGAGGAGAGTGAAAAATTTGGCTTAAAACTCAACATTCAGAAAACTAAGACCATGGCATCTGGTCCCATCACTTCATGGCAAATAGATGGGGAAATAATGGAAACAGTAACAGACTTGTTTTTTCTTGGGGGGGGGGGCTCCAAAATCACTGCAGATGGTGATTGCAGCCATGAAATTAAAAGACGCTTACTCCTTGGAAGAAAAGTTATGACCAACCGAGACAGCATATTAAAAAGCAGAGACATTACTTTGCCAACAAAAGTCCATCGAGTCAAAACTGGTTTTTCTAGTAGTCATGTATGGATGTTAGAGTTTGACTATAAAGAAAGCTGAGCACTGATGAACTGATACTTTTGAACTATGGTGTTGGAAAAGATTCTTGAGAGTCCCTTGTATAGCAAGGAGATCCAACCAGTCCATGCTAAAGGAGATCAGTCCTGGGTGTTCACTGGAAGGACTGATGCTGAAGATGAAACTCCAATACTTTGGCCACTTGATGTGAAAAACTGACTCATCTGAAAAGACCCTGATGTTGGGAAAGATTGAGGGCAGGAGGAGAAGGGGACAACAGAGGATGAGATGGTTGGATGGCATCACCAACTCAATGGACATGAGTTTGAGTAAACTACGGGAGTTGGTGATGGACAGGGAGGCCAGGCGTGCTGCAGTCCATAGGGTTGCAAGGAATCGGAAACGACTGAGCCACTGAACTGAACTGAAGGCATAAATGAATGCTGTGTGGATTTTTTTTTTCTTTTCTGATCACAAAGCCTATTCGTAGTTGGCATTTGTTATTTGCTTACACTGGGTCCACTTTGGTTTGATGTTTGTATTTGGTGTGAGAAAGGTGTTCAATTTTATTTATTTATTTATTTGCATATAGACATCCAGTTCTCCAAGCAACATTTGTTGGAAAGACTATTCTTTTCCCATTGAATAGGCTTAGCACCCTTGTCAAAATGTAATTGACCATAAATTAAGGTTCTAGTTCTAGACTCTTAGGTTTGTTCCTTTGACCTATATGTCAGTCCTTATACTAGCACCACACAGTCTTGATTATGGTAGCTTTGTATTAAGTTTTGAAATCTAGAAATGTTTGTTCCCTTACCTTGTTCTTTTTCAGTGTTTTGTTTGTATTCTGGCTATTTACTTCCTTGTGAATTTCAGAGTTACTTTGCCAAATTCTGCCAAAAAAAAAACTAGCTTGAATTTTGATAGGGATTATATTACATCTGTAGATCAATTAGGAGAGTATTGCCAACTTAACACGTTTTCCAACCCGTAAACATGGGAAGTCTTTCTATTTATTTATGCCTTCTTTAAATTCTTCCAGTAATGTATAGTTTTCAGAGTACATGTTTTCTACTTTTTAAATAAATTTATTTACAACTATTTTATGTTTTTAAGTGCCATTGTAAATGAGATTGTTTCAGCTAAATTTTCTTATTGGTTATTGCTAGTGTAGAAAAAATTGATTTTTATTGCTCTCATATCCTGCAACTGTGCTGAACTTATTTATTAGTTTGGATATATTTTATATACAAAATCATGTTATATGCAAATTGTGATGGTAATTCCTCCTATCCAGACTTGATGCATTTTATTATGATTTCTTGTCTAATATTCCCTGCTAGAACTTCTAGTACAGTATTGAAAAGAACTGTTGAGAACAGACATCCTTGCCTTGTTTCCAATAGGAGTTTACATATCCAATACTATACATATTTCATACCAATGTTAGGTCTGGGGTTTTTGTAGATGCTTGTTATCAGATTGAGAAAGTACCCATCTATTCCAAATTTATTGGGTACTTTTATCATGAAGAGATTTTTATTTTGTCAAATGCTTTTTCTGTACCTATGGACACAATCATATAGTTTTTTTGTCCTGTCCTTTGTTAATATGATGTATTACATTAATTAATTTTCAGATATTAACCCAACTTTCATTCCTGGCATAAATGCTGCTTGATCTCAGTGTACAATCTTTTTTTATACGCAGATGGATTTGGCTTGTCAATATTGTGTTGAAGATTTTTCATATATATTTTTCTTGTTATGTCTCTTTCTGGCTTTGGTATGAGGATTAATACTGGCCTCATAAAATAAGGTAGGATTCCTTCCTCCTTTCTTTTTCTTGAAGACATTGCTAAGGATTCACATTATTTCTTTCTTAAATGTTTGATAGAATTTACAAGTAAGATCACCTTATCTGGCCTTATATTTGTGGGAAGATTTTTAACTTCTAATTTAATCCTTTATCTTAGTATAGTTCTACTTATATTTTTTTTCCTGAGTCATTTCAATAATCTGTGCCTTCCAGGAATTTTTAAGTGTCATCTAAATTGTCTAATTTTTTGACATAAAGTTGTTCATAATATAATCCTTTAATTTCTGTAAGGTCAACATTGATGTTCCCACTTTCCTGATTTTGATAATTGAGCATTTTTCCCTTGGCCAGTCAAACTGAAGGTCTATTATTTTCTTTATCTTCTCAATGAACCAACTTTTTATTTCATTGATTTTCCTCATGGTTTTTCTGTTTTATATTTCATTGATTTTCCACCCTAATCTTTATCATTTCCTTCCTTTTGCTGGCTTTTATTAAGTATATAAATTTAAAACTTTAGGGGTAACTAAAATTATTTGCTTCATTTAAAATGGGATTTGAGACATCAGACATATAAAAATGTTTATGGTATTGCACATAGTAGTCATTTAGACCAGTTAACTAGGAGGAGAGTCAATCTGCTAAAAACAGATAAGAGTTTGTTTAGAACATTTGTTGATGAATGAAATTTCAAGTCTGACTTGCATGAAGGTGTTTATTGCATGAGTAGGTTATTTAAACAATCTGGTCACATGGACCACAGCCTTGTCTAACTCAGTGAAACTATGAGCCATGCTGTGTAGGGCCACCCAAGATGGATGGATCATGGTGGAGAGTTCTGACAAAATATCCACTGGAGAAGGGAACGGCAAACCACTTCAGTATTCTTGCCTTGAGAACCCCATGAACAGTATGAAAAGGCAAAAAGATAGACACTGAAAGATGAACTCTTCAGGTTCCATGAGGTCGCAGAGTCAGACACGACTGAGCAACTGAACTGAACTGAACTGAGGTTATTTTGTAGTACTTCATTGGAAGGACTGATGCTGAAGCTGAAACTCCAATATTTTGGCCACCTCATGCGAAGAGTTGACTCATTGGAAAAGACCCTGATGCTGGGAGGGTTTGGGGACAGGAGGAGAAGGGGACGACAGAGGATGAGATGGCTGGATGGCATCACCAACTCTATGGACATGAGTTTGAGCAAACTCCGGGAGTTGGTGATGGACAGGGAGGCTTGGCATGCTGTGGTTCATGGGGTTGCTATCTAGGTTGGTCATAACTTTCCTTCCAAGGAGTAAGCATCTTTTAATTTCATGGCTGCAGTCACCATCCGCAGTGATTTTGGAGCCCAAAAAAATAAAGTCTGACACTGTTTCTACTGTCTCCCCATCTATTTCCCATGAGGTGATGGGACCAGATGCCATGATCTTAGTTTTCTGAATGTTAAGCTTTAAGCCACCTTTTTCACTCTCCTCTTTCACTTTCTTCAAGAGGCTTTTCAGTTCCTCTTCACTCTCTGCTATAAGGGTGGTGTCATCTGCATATCTGAGGTTATTGATATTCTCCCGGCAATTTTGATTCCAGCTTGTGCTTCATTCAACCCAGCGTTTCTCATGATGTACTCTGCATATAAGTTAAATAAGCAGGGTGACAATATACAGCCTTGGCGTACTCCTTTTCCTATTTGGAACCAGTCTGTTGTTCCATGTCCAGTTCTAACTGTTGCTTCCTGACCTGCATACAGGTTTCTCAAGAGGCAGGTCAGGTGGTCTGGTATTTCCATCTTTTTCAGAATTTTCCACAGTTTATTGTGATCCATACAGTCAAAGGCTTTGGCATAGTCAATAAAGCAGAAATACATGTTTTTCTGGAACTCTCTTGCTTTTTTGATGATCCAGCGGATGTTGGCATTTTGATCTCTGGTTCCTCTGCCTTTTCTAAAACCAGCTTGAACATCTGTAAGTTCACGGTTCACGTATTGCTGAAGCCTGGCTTGGAGAATTTTAAGCATTACTTTATTATCGTGTGAGATGAATGCAATTGTGCGGTCATTTGAGCATTCTTTGGGATTGCCTTTCTTAGGGATTGAAATGAAAACTGACCTTTTCCAGTCCTGTGTCCACTGCTGAGTTTTCCAAATTTGCTGACATATTGAGTGCAGCACTTTCACAGCATCATCTTTCAGGATTTGAAATGAATATTAGTTTAGTCTAACTCATCCATGGAGCCTTCTAAGCTCACTATAGTCTGGGGTGGGCCTGGGCCCTTGATTGCCTCTCTTGGTATTTTCCTAGACTGTATCTTTCCATTAGGATATGTTTTCTGTTCCCATGTAGATTGTAAGCTCTATTTTCTATCTATTACTGTGCCTTACACATCATAGATGCTTAAATATCTTCTGGTTAATTCAATGCCTATTTATTTTCAGGTTTAAAAGAGTGGTCTTAATTCAGCAACTTGAAAAGGTCCTGGAAAAAGTTGAATCCAACCACCTGAGCAAAAAAAGTTAATCACAAGAAAAATAGATAACCGTGTTTTTGCAAAGAACAATGAGAAGCAAGTACACATTTTCTATGCTGCATGGTGGGATGAGATGCTGCTGAAGCTTCTTAAAATATTGTTGTCAACAAAATTGCCCTTCTAGAGGCTAAGAAAAAAAGCAGTGGAGCCTTTCAATTTTATGGTTCTCTGTCAGTAATAACTGGGCTATTGCCCTAAGAATTTCCAGTGAAAGTATAGCTTGTTGTCTGTCTGTGTTCTCCTACCTGAGGAAGGGGATGTTATTAACACATTAAGCTAAATGTACAGTCCTGGGAGCAGGGCCAGTGGTTATAGCTGGTATTCATAACTGCTCCCTTTCACTACTCATTTCTTATTCCTTTTGCCCAGAGGCAGCCCTACAGTTGGTCATGGTTCTTTGCCTTGTAGGATGATTAAATATTAATTGTTGAAGGGTCTGGGCTAAATGTCCTGCCTTCGATGGGTTATCATTTTCCACAAACTTTGATCAGAAGACATGAGAGTAGTCAGCTCTTTAGCAATGTTAGGTATACTCCTCTTTAGCCCCTTGTATAGTAGGAACCCAAAAACCCTTTGATTGTCAGGTTCCATTACCCCGGCCTATAGGGGATCCCCTTCTTCACCTCTTGACTGAAAGGGATGAGGGGACCAAAATGGCTAGCTGACAGTTTGAATTCCATATCAATATCATCACTGTTATGTTCCTTAGTGGACTAAGATCTCTGGTTCACTAAAACAAAGTAACAGAGATGGGAAGCATTTTAGGGATAAGTAGTGAGAGGAGGCACTTCCATCTCCACCCCTTGATTTCAAGACCTATGAATAGACTATGGCAGAAAAAACAAACTGCTTTCTAGAATGACTTCAAGCATAATCTCCATCCCTGCCACCTTGGCCACTTGGTTCTTGAGCCCACTGGGTTATGACCTGAATGCTGGAGAAGGAAGCTGATTGAGGTCTAGATGATGAATACCCTATCCATCAGATTATTAAAATTCTGCTCTGGTAAGCTTATTTACAGAGAATTCTCACAAGACACAAGTATCTTCATATTATGTATCCATTTGGACAGGTGTATCCACATACTTTTCCCCTGGACTTCCTTGTCCCAAATATTGAACTATGTATCCTCAAAGCCCTCAACCCCTCAACCAATGAAATGGACATGACCTAGACACAGCTACTCACTCATACTTGTGGCCATCTTTCCTGGCAGAAGGAATGACAGGTGCACTGCTCAAAGTTCTTCCCTGGGAGGATTACCCTTCACCATGTCCTTCCAGGCTGTCCCAAAGTGGACTGGACTGATGCAGCTGTCCACTTCTGGCTTGAGTAGTAGGCAGGATTCTCAATGTGCCCTTCAAGATTCCAGTCTTCTGGTTATTTAATTAATCTCTAACATGAGTACTGCTGTGGTGGGATTTTTTTAATGCAAAATAAGTTTTATTTTGTTGGCACTGAAAGAAAAACAAGCAAAAGAACAGTATTTCTACATTGAGGTGAAAGCAATGTTTAAACTATCTTTGCAATGAAATGTATTCCAAAAGAAAGTATGTTTTATGAAGATTCCAAAGTACAGGTGAATCTTAACACAACAGTACAGGAATCTGTAATACTGAAGATGACTCTCTTCTGACAGGATGTTTAACAAACATATTTTTAAAATTATAAAGGCAATGAAGCAATCCCATTTAAATAACTGTGTCAACAGTGATATGGCTTTTTCCATTAATACTCTAATAATCTCATTTTAATACTTTTTTACTGCCATGACAATTTGATTTAACACATAAATTCTGTTGTACTTATAAACATTGTAATTAAACTTAAAAGTTTTTGCTCAGCAAAGGAAATCATAGAGAAAATGAAAAGACAACCTATAGAATGGAAATATTTGCAAATGATGCAACTGATAGGGATTAATTTACAAATTATATAACAGTTAATACAGCTCAATACCACCCCTAAAATACCAAATCCGATCAAAAACTGTACTGATGATCTTAATAGACATTTCTCCAAAGAAGACATACAAATGGCCAACACACACAAGAAAAGATATTCAATGTCTCCAATTATTGGAGAAATACAAATCAAAACTATGATGAGGTTATTGCCCCACGCCAGTCAGAATGGCCATCATCAAAAAGTCTACAAATAACAATTCTGAAGAGGGTGTAGAGAAAAGGGAACCTTCCTACACTGTTGGTGTGAATGTAAATTGGTGCAGCCACTATGGAAAACAGTAAGGAGGTTCCTTACAAAACTAACAGTTGAGCTACCATATGATTTAGTAATCTCGCTCCTGCGCATGTATCTGAAGAAAACCATACTTCAAAAAGACACATGCAACCCAATGTTTATTGCAGCATTATTTATAATAGGTAAGACATGGAAGCCCTAGAGGAGGGCATGGTAACCCACTCCAGTATTCTTGCCTGGAGAATTCCATGGACAGAGGAGCCTGGTAGGTTAAGGTCCATAGGATCACAAAGAGTCAGACATGACTGAAGTGACTTAGCACACACACATGACACGGAAGCAACCTAATCTGTCCATCAACAGATGAATGGATAAAGATGTGGTGGTATGTATATGTGTATATATATACAATATTTCATTATCTATCTATTTACAATAATGGAATATTATTCAGCCATAAAAATGAAATAATGCCATTTGCAGCATCATGAATGGGCCTAGAGATTATCATATATCCTACTAAATGAAGTAAGCCAGACAAAGACAAATATCATGTTTTATCACTTATATGTGGAATCTAAAAAATATGATATAAATGAACTTACTTACAAAACAAATAGACATCAAAAACAAACTAATGGTTACCAAAGTGATAGTGGTGGCAGGGGAGCAGGAGGGTATAAATTAGGAGTTTGGGATTAACATATACACACTACTATGTATAAAATAATAAGCAACAAGGACCTACCATATAGCACAGGGAACTCTATTCAATATCTTATAATAACCTATAATGGAAAAGAATCTGAAAAAGAATGTGTGTGTGTGTGTGTGTGTGTGTGTGTGTGTGTGTGGAAGGAAGACACTGGGGTATAAGTCTGGCTTCAGCTGACAACCAGTTCTCCTGACCTTGGGCAATGACATGAACCCTGGAGGCCTTAAGTGTAAATCATGGCCCTGACTCAAGAGATACTGCCAGGTTGAGGTGAGCATGAAGGTAAGAAGCCACAGCCGATCCTGGCACATGTTATTAATATGTTCTCAGTCAGCATTCTCCCAGGCCTTGGTACTGCATATAGGAAATGGTCACAGCCCAGTACCTAGGAAAGGCAACAAGGCCTGGGACAGACAGAAGTCCAAAGTGGGTCATTCACTGATGATTAGTGATCTAATTTGGGGGACAGAGAAAACAGATTCTATAAATAGTGATCTAATATGGAGGACAGAGAAAACAGATTCTATGAGCCAGAGATTAACTGAATGAGAGAAATTTCACCCAGCCTGACAGGACAGCAGTTACTGAGAGTCATCAGAGCTGAAGGGCTGAGGCCGATGACACCTAGATCCTCCCTCCCCTGGGTGCTCCTGTCAGGGAAGGAAGGTGAGCAGAGCGTGTGATGTATCCAGGGTCACATGAGATACAGGGACCAATGGGACGCTGTGGACCAGGGAAGCCTAAGCCTGCAGTCTGAGGGCAGCACCAGAGGAGGAGAGGAAGAAACTTGAGCTCAGGAGAGAGCTGCGCAATGAGTCATGCTGCTGCTGCTGCTGCTAAGTCACTTCAGTCACGTCTGACTCTGTGCGACCCCATAGACAGCAGCCCACCAGGCTCCCCCGTCCCTGGGATTCTCCAGGCAAGAACAGTGGAATGGGTTACCATTTCCTTCTCCAGCACATGAAAGTGAAAAGTGAAAGTGAAGTCGCTCAGTCGTGTCCGACTCTTAGCCACCTCATGGACTGCAGCCCACCAGGCTCCTCCGTCTATGGGATTTTCCAGGCAAGAGTACTGGAGTGGGGTTCCATTGCCTTCTCTGGCAATGAGTCATAGATCCAGGGAAACCCTGATGTGCTTGTGCCCTGGGCTACTTAGCTAACCTCTTAATGTTTCCACATCCTCTTCTGTCGTTTGAGGGTCATGACAGCATAGACCTGTTAGGCTTATTGTGAGGATTTAAAAAATAGCTCATTTAATGTTTATTAGATATTTTCAAAATACCAGGCACTTATCTAGGTGTGAAATCACAGTGAACCAACACTTGCTCATGGATCTTACTTTCCAGTTGGGAGATAAAGACACCAGAAAACCAGAGCTTCTGTCAAGTGCTCTGAAAAAAAGTTGAAGTCAGGTGAAGAGGAGGAAAACAAGTGAATGGTACTGTGAATTTGCTAGATAGGGGAGGCCTTTCTGAGGAGGAGACACCTAAGCTGAGAAAGGAGGAAAGTGCCTGAGTTCTGCTAGGCTCAGTTTTCTTCAAAGTATCCTCTTTCCCAAGGCCAGAGCAAAGGAAAAGATATGTGTCTTAATTAAATCTTCCTGGGGAGTTCCAGCTCATATATGTGGGGTTCAGCCTGGCTGTGACCTTTCTTCCTGAATGCCTGAGATGCTTCAGCATCAGATGAAAAGACAACAGTTTTATGGAGATGGCTGAACAAGCCCCTACAATTGCATAAGTCAGTTCTCTGTGATGAATCTAAACAACACACACATGCGTGTGCACGCACACACACACACACACCTCCTACTGGTTCTCCTTTTCTAGTTGAAGCCCGACTTATAGATTTTGGTATTGAAAGAGGTTCTAGAGAACACATATTAAGGGTGAATTCTCTGAGATTGTTCTGTGTTTCTGGAATTCCTTCTTTAATCAGATTAAAGTCATTAGTAACTTTTATCCTGAGTTTTAAAGGGGACTGGTAGTTCATTGCAAGAAATAGCAAAGGGGTTTCTCAAATTACCATATTTGGATACCTATAATCAAGTCCCTTGCGTGGGTGCAGGAGGGCTGAG